TTTCTCATGACATGACAGCATCCCTGAGCATCGCCGTGGCAGCGATCACCGCGCGTAAGAGTTTTCGCGCCCCGCGCCGGGCGATACGCGAAACAATGCACTGTTGTTATGGAACGCCGCCACGAGTGTCACCTCTCTATTACTGTAAACCCTCTCTGGTTAAAGCTTCCGTTGTCCTGCAACAATAATTTGCCGACTTGGATAGAGTGAAATTGCAAAAAAGATCGTGCCCAGGGCGACTAAAACAAGTCAAAGTAAATTCAAAGTAGGCCTACAGAGATTAACAACGAATTCAAATAGAAAGTGTCTCTTGTTGTTAAGGTTTTGTTGTCTTCAGATTTCTAATGTTTCGTAATGTGATTGCGGATTGCATTGGGCCTTGATGCCTGGTGGGTGGCAGCCACACAGGAAATGGTTCGACAAAGGAGTGAAACTGGGATTTCCAAAGTGGACCTGCTAATGTTTATGTTTACAAAGTTTTTATGAGAAATAATAATTCACTCTCGGTCGAAAGTATGTTGGATGGTTCATGCATTTGAAACAGGCCCTGTAGTTACTAGACTCTAGATCTAGATTTAGAATATCTAGATCTAATGTCAAAATGGATGGGGCACTATTCAACTCAGTATTTAACAGGTGTGTGGAAAAAGGAAACTTCATTGACTCTGAAGTGATAGAACCTGGCGAAGTAACCAGCAGAGGTAGCAGAACGAGGAGCGTCGGAGAAAGTGTGGTTGGTCTCTTGAGAAAGAAACCCAGTTTTGATTCATGTGATGTCCGCAAAAACGTGATGAATAAATCTGTGCACCAGGGAAATCCTGCGGCTGATTTTATTCCAAGATCTTCACTATATTCTGTGCAGGAAGATATTATTGAGTCTTGTGAGAAGAGAGGTGGAATTGGCAATGATGTGGGACTAGTGGGAGAAATGAGTAAACACTTGGATCTAGATGGTTTGATTGATATTGGAAAAGCAGAACATTTTGTGAAACAAGAAGTGATGGAGGGACCAGACATCGCTGAGAAAGGAGAGACATATGAATATATAATGAGAGATGGGAAGGAGGGGCAGAGTGTTAATGGAAATCATGCTTCTGACTCTCTCTGTCTCCTCAGTCAGTCAGAAGAACGCAAGCAGTTATTTCTTGATGTGAGGAGTTTGTGCCATGTGCAGCAACGTGTAGATCCACAAACTTCTGCTGCTGCTTATGAGAGTGTAAGAACTGACTATGTTTGTGTTAGTCAAGACCCCTCGTCACTTACTCACACCGACTCAAACGTTGCCAGTTCTTCTGCTGGCTGGGAAAGGGATGGACAGGGAAATGATTCACTTAGCTCACAGAACAGCATACCTTTTGACCTCAACATCAACATGATGGTAAACGAAACTTCTGCTACTACATCTGAAGGTCACAAACATTTCAAAGAAGGTAATTTTGATTTGGCAAGAATTTTGGGTATTCTTTTACTTTCCCTCCTGTCTCACACACATGATAGCTAGGCGTCCATTTTCCGCTATTGATGCGCTGATATATCTCTCTCTATATATAGATCTAGATCTAGATCTAGATCTCTATATATCGACTTCATTTCCGTCGCAAATTAATAGTTTTTGAAATATATTTGATTTTTTTTAATAGGGAAATTTATATCACACTAAGCTTTTAAAATAAAATTGCGCACACAGCGGGTTTGGAGCGCCCATTAAGTTTCGGCTGGGGTGAGGCAAGCAAGTCCGCACTTCCCCAGGTCACGGGGTCATTTACCTGCGCCGCCGGAGATTTCCCTTATCAGCCGAACACCGGCAGCGCTCTTGTTTTTTTCATAAAGTTTACAACACCATGAGCCAAAGCTAATATAAGATGAACATTTTAATAAAGACTACGTAAATAATCAACATATTGAGGAAGAAAATGAAGAAATCGGAAGACCATGGTACATACACTTAAAAGCTGTGAAGTTCTCAAAAAGGGGACTTAATTTGATAAATGTGTCATAGGTAATCAATTCTAAACATCAATTTAAATGTGATTGCCCCCGACGAGTTCAATAAAATTTGCACAGAGGACTGAGAACATAATGAAATTTGTACTCACAAAACACACTAATAAGCTTCTGGATCTGTAATAATTCAGGTTTGAAGTTGATTTTTGCAATACTCTTGCTTTGCGACCTTGATCTTTCATAGCGATATATATGTAACTACAGAACAGATCTTTCCTTGCCGATATCCTTATATATGAAAACACAACCTAAACACAAAATACAAAAAGAACGCAATATTGTTGGACTGGAAGAATTGTCTCATTTTTCCGCGGTATGCTTTTGTCTTTTGATGGGTGGTGCACATGACAGTAGCTCTGGGTGGGTTTGGACGTGTTGTGACTGCTTGATTGTTTTGATGTGTTTTTCTTTGTCTTTTATAGCTGCTACGAGTCGTCTTTCCAGCTTGGCCAAGGTTGCATGAATGAGCTCACCCCCTTGCTCACCATGGAAGGTTATTCCACACCCATATTTTTGTATCCAAGAAACGCAGTGTTTCTCAAGGATGTGTTGTTTGAGGATGACCTTTTCTTTGCCAAATATGTGTCTGTATAAAGACATATATATCATGTAAATATCATGTAATGCATGACTGAATATGTGGTATTCTTTCTTTAGAAAGTGATTGGCTTTCCATGTGCAATTAGGGTTGGTCTCTTCTTTACAGTGTTGTTGGGGTGGTCACTCGTTACGGAAGTCCGACCCCCCTGGGTGGTGCCACTCACTGAAGTGTCTTTAGGCCATTCCCAAATTTAATGCGCAGTAGAATTGTAAATGAGCTGATTTAACAATGTCATGCTCATGACTGTGCCTGAACTACAACAGGGAATTGATTGCTTTTTCTTTCCTAATCCTAACTATCGTCATTTTCCTCTACTTCTTTTGTATGTTTGTCACACTCTTGTGACCCGGTATTTCCTGGGTGCCTTGATAAAGCCGAAGCAGACTTTGTGCTGTTGAAGCTAGAGACGTGAGCAGAGTAAGTCTGATTCCCTGTAAGGACATCTTTGTTGGCATCCACCCCTTGGCGCTCATAATGACCTTATGCAGCTGTGAGCGCCGTAAAACCTCTACTAAAACAATAAAAAATGGAAGTCCTGTCTTTGATTTAATAGTTTTGTCAGCTGAATATGTACACTAGACTGTCCATTTTAGTAATAAGAGTTTTATGGTTCTTTCAACAAAAAATATAAAAACGCAGAGACTGTCCATGCCAATGAAGTTTGCATGATCGATTTTTGTTCTAGTCAGAAATCCTGCCCCCCCCTCATCTTGTTTGTTGAGAAAATGGCTTCATTTAAGTCACCATTGTTGAAGGTGTTACTTCTTAATCTTTGGTTGACATTTTATTCTTTTAGTAGCAGTTGCTTTTTTAAAATTGACCCCTTGCTTTACCTTGACAGTTGTGACATTTGTGCAGTAGCCTACTACTACATCCGTTGAGTGGCAGTCGTGACATGAATAAAATATAAAAATTATATTATAAAATGTCATTTTGATAGTCAGAATTTTCTAACTTTAAGCAAACAACATGTTCCCTTGGCCAACATTATTGCCCTCTGCTACTGAATAGCCTACAAGCCCTCCCCTCTCTCTCCCTCTCTTTCTACTTTCGCTTTCTCTCTCTCTCTCTCTCTCTCTCTTTCTCTGTCTCTCTCTCTCTCTCTCTCTCTCTCTCTCTCTCTCTCTCTCTCTCTCTCTCTCTCTCTGTCTCTCTCTTTCTCTGTCTGTCTGTCTGTCTGTTTGTCTGTCTGTCTCTCTCTTTCTCTGTCTCTCTCTTTCTCTGTCTGTCTGTCTGTCTGTCTGTCTGTCTGTCTGTCTGTCTGTCTGTCTGTCTGTCTGTCTGTCTCTCTCTCTTTATCTCTCTCTCTCTCTCTCTCTCTCTTTATCACTCTCTCTCTCTTTATCACTCTTTCCCTTCTCCCCTTCTCTTCTCCCTTTGTGTCTGTTTGTCTTTCTCTCTCTTTCCGTTTCTTTAGCTCGCTACTTTTTTTGCATAACCTTAGGTAGGCACTTTTGTTGATAGAGAAGACAATATCAAAATATATTATAATATTATATTATAGGGAGTGCTTATTTAGGCCACATATGGCCTAAATAAGGTAAAGGGGGGGGGGGGGGGTTTAGCTTATTTGGGCCACAGGTGGCCTAAATAAGGTAAAGGAGGGGGGTTTAGCTTATTTAGGCCACACATTCTCAAACTACCCTTTTCAGGCAACTGAGTTCGTTCCACTTTCGTAATAGTGCACCTTTCTCATTTAGTACAGTTTTGTCTCTAGTGCACAACTTAAAATCATAACATAATGAAAATTGTAAGAACAAAGCACAATTAATTTAATACGCAAAAATTTGCTTCATCCCAGTGGTTGGAATGAGGGCCAGATTTTTTCCTCATGGAAGGGCAAAAGCTAGGCTACCATTTTGGCACACTTTGGTCAAGTGAACAAATTAGCCTTATGGTCAAAACCTCCGAATGGACTTCCGGGTCAAATTTGGTGTGCAATATTATAAAAATCGTAGTACACAACGTGCCCGAGGGCACTCTCTCAAAACAATGCACTATGCACCCGCCGGCGATTGAGAGACTGGTCGAGGGTGCCGTATTCAGCACCTTTGCTGAATTCACAGAGTTGTTCGACAAATATAAATCAGACACAAATAGTGTATTTGTTTCCAAGCATGCAACAAAAGTCTCTTCGGCAAACAAGAGGGTAATGACTGACGAAAAAAAATATCGAGATGAATGGGTGTACAGGAGCATCCAGTTCCAGTGCAAGCATTTTGGTGACTATGAATCCCAAAGCAAGGGTTCCAGACCTAATCAAGCGTAAGTTTGAATCAACTAGTTGTAGATCTAGATCTAGATCTAGCTCCTAGATCTACCATTTTTTCTACCTAGATCTAGAATCTAGATCTAGATCTACCATTTTTTCATTAATTGATATGAAAGTGGCTATTCTCATGGGCCCGGAAGTTCTAGCAAGATCAACTCCTCCCCTCTTCTCTCTCTCTCTGTCTCTTTCTGAATACTCTCTCTCTCTCTCTCTGCCCCCCCCCTCTCTCTCTCTCTCTCTCTCCCCCCCTCTCTCTCTCTCTCTCTCTCTCTCTCCGTTTTTAAAAAGAAAAATAAACTTATCTATACGGCCTCCTACATTCAGTAGGGGTGGCCTATAATAAATGTAATGAAATTGATGCCTAAGTTTTTGATACACATTTCTTGGGCAAGGTGGACCATGTCGTAAGTTACATTATGTTATAACTACACCAGTTTGAAGATTGGAAACCAAGCTCATTATTCATTATTCTAAATTGTCTAGCCACCTTGTGTAACGGTTTGAGTGACACAGCAGTTGATGAATGAAAGGAGGAACACAAAAGTTACGGTCATGACAGTGAGTGAGAGAAGGTCTATCATCACAGGGACAGATTGATGCAATTGACACAATAGACTTTGGGAAGATAGAAACGAACTGTGGGGAAAACTGGGGGTACTATTCTCTACATGTATTCTACCTCAAGTTATTGCATACATCCATGAGTACGAGTGGCATCAAGCAGACGTAAGTCCATATGTGTCAAAATAAAAGGAGAAAAAATACACATTTATTACATGTAAAAAATTCTATAATTCAGACATGTACCGACAGCACAGGTTTTTAATCTACAGATTGTGACTCTGAGATTGAATACAGAAAAGGACCTTAAATTGATTCTACATCACATGTCATGTACGATACTGCTGTGAAGGAAAATGGATGTGAAGAGTTTTAAAGAAATAATTATGTAACTTGTAAAGAAAACAATGCTTTACATTGGTTTTCTTATTTTAACTACATATGTGGCCTAAATAAGGTAAGGGAGGGGGGTTTAGCTTATTTAGGCCACAGGTGTGGCCTAAATAAGGTAAAGGAGGGGGGGTTAGCTTATTTAGGCCACATGTGTGGCCTAAATAAGGTAAAGGAGGGGGGGTTAGCTTATTTAGGCCACAGGTGTGGCCTAAATAAGGTAAAGTTTTTTTTTTTTTAGCTTATTTAGGCCACAGGTGTGGCCTAAATAAGGTAAAGGGGGGGGGGTAGCTTATATAGGCCATATGTGGCCCAAATAAGGTCACCCTATATTATATAATATATGTATATTATATCATCGGCCGAGAATTCTTACCGTATAAATCCGGAATTTTCTCGAATTGCATTTCTCCTAAAAATAGATGGACATGATGAAGGGCTACGTCCTAATTAAATCCCGATCAATTTTGACCAATCGAAAGACTTGTTTTATTGAAAAATTTAAACCATATTCCGACTGGATTCTACAACAGAAGAATTCTTACCATCCAATTCGTTTAGGTCGCTCGCCATTGTGGATCACGGCGATCACTCAATTCTCCGA